CGAGGCGGTGACTGATCTCTGTACCGCCGGCTTCACCCCTTCCAGCCTTCCCCCGAGGCGGGGAACGGGCTGAAAGGGGCCTGGAGACAAAAGCCGGGCCGCAGGCAGGGCCTGGAGGTGCCATCCTCCTCCCGGGGCCAAAAAAACCCCCAACAATCAAGCAAAGATGGCAAAGGATTGAAAGCCGTTATCCCCTTATGTAAGATACTCTTGAAAACTAATCGAGGGTACTGAGCCTAAAGTAGAACATAAGAGTGTTAGGAGGGAGCTGTGGGTTTAAAACTCCCCTTAAAGATTAAACAATCCCTGCAGAGGCTGGGGAAGGAAATATTAGAATCGAGGTGAGCGGTGTAGAGGGACGGATGCCAAGTACATCAGTCTGTTGTGTGTGAAGGAAGCCACGGTTAGAATTGGTACGTGGGCTAGAAAGTTTTTTTAGGAAGCCGTTTTAACACTTGGCTGCTGTTTAAAGGTTATATATTTTTTTTTTTTCCCAAGAGGAATAAGTGCACACAAACATCACTCTAAAATACACCCAGAGTGCAGGCAGCCTTCATGATGTGGAAGGTGAAATGTGTAAAGGGTCGATTTCACCCCGTGTTTCTGGACAGGGTGGGTAGAGGTGAAGTTGGTAGGGAGGGATGCGTGAGAGAGAATGAAAATGAGATCAAATAACTATCTAAGAGCCTAAAATAACGGATTGAACAGTCGTTTAATCGAGAGAGAGTGCAAATCCAGGTTTTTTTAAACTAAAACTTCACAGTTGCTGTGCTTACTAATGCCTCCAGCATCTAATATTTGACCCCTGTGGCTGTTCAGTGCCTCTAATATGAAATATTCATCCCAGGTTTCAAGCTCGTTTTGAAAAAAAAAAAAAAAAAAAACAGCTCGGCCGAAGTGTGCAAAATGGTGGATTAATTTGTACATGTTTATTCTGATTTTGCAAATGGCTGCTGGCACTCACAGACAGGACGATTGTGAAAATTTCCCCAAGGGCCTCGATTGCTGCATCTGCTGAGATGACGCAACTGGAGAGCGAGCCTGCAGGGTGAAGGATGGTGCAGAGGGAGGGGCCAGGCAGCACAGCCCTTGCTCTGGGTGCAGGAGCAGCTTCTTCTCTTGAAGCAGGCTTCTATGGATGGGGTGAAACTTCTACGTCTAGGAGAAAAATGTTTTTTTTTATCTCCAGAGCCTGACACTCTGAACCTTAAGTCCTGAATTGAGCCTAAGCGGCTTCAAATCGCTGGGGAGAATTTGGTAGGAAGGCTCGTTGGGGGTTTCAGATATTCAGGTGTGGTGTCAAAGCTCAGACTGGAGGTTTGGCTTCTGAGCGGGGTGAAAATGGTTGAGGTAGTGATGTCTGTGAGTATTTCAGGGAATTTTCTGACCCTGAGCCAAGAGTGCTGATGCAAAGGTCTAAGGTAATTAGGGCTCTGTATATCACAGGGAAAAAAAATGATCCCTGGCTGGCTGGGCCAGTGTATTGTGTTATTTTAGGAGGGTGAGAAAATAGGATTTTGCCTATGTGATAGCAGAATGGTTCTGAGATCAGGTCCAGAGTAGCTGCCTTGGTACAGAAATACAGCTCACTCGCTTCAAGCTGGGAGTGTTTTTATCTCCAGGTTAGTCTTGCCCTCCAAACACTGCAGCAGCAGCTTTCTGAGCCCCCTGGGTCTGTGGCCCTGCTCTGGGGGGGTTCCTTTGTCTTGCTGCTTGCTGAGGTTGCAGTGGGAGGAGTTCCCTTGGCCTTGGTTTGGGGTTTTTGTTTAAATCTTGCCATCTGGTCTCTGTTCTAAACCCGGGTTTGACGAGGATTTGTCTGACCCTGCCCGTTTGCCTCTCTGACTGTGATCCCTTTCCAGTTCCAGGGTTCCCTTCAATTGCTGTAGTAACCTGGGTCCGGGGCCTCGGTGGTGCTCCTGATGTCCCTCACCCACCCCTGAAGATCCCAGGTGGGCGAGGGAATAGTCAGAGGGATCACAATCTTTCAGCTAATTTATTTTATTCGGTGAGTATGGATGATAAATATCTAAACCCTGACTTGAACTCAGTTCTGGCCTCGAGCCTTTTGGTGGGAGTTTGTTCCTCCTCCAAAATGAGCTGGAAATAACTTTGTGCATCTTAACTGCCACAGGATAATCGGCTGAATGTAACAGAAGAACTAACATCTAATAACAGGACGAGAATTCTGAATGTCCAGTCAAGGCTTACTGATGCCAAACACATTAGTTGGAGAGCAGTGCTGAACAACAACAACCTCTACATAGAAATTCCCAGTGGTGCTCTGCCAGAAGGGAGCAAGGACAGGTGGGTGTGAGAAAATCCAGCTCCTCCTGGACTTGTCTCTGTTCTCAAAGCCTGTCAGCAGGGTGGAACAACACCTCCTGGTGTGGATGTTCTCTTCTGTTCTACAAGTTGAAGTTTAATGAACTGATGCTGGATGCTCTCTTCTAAGAGGCTGTAACTAAGCAGCCCTGGTTTGAGGGTTGCTTCTGCCTGTTCTGTCAGGTGGAACCCCCCAAAAGATCTGTGACACCAGGCTGGGGGGTGGTTCTGTCCACCAAACACCAGCCTGGCCCGAGGCTGTCACTGCAGCTCTCCCTTTGGCTCCAACAGGAAAACCAGCCTGCTACCCAAGACCTACATTTGTCAGACTGGGGGGTGTGGGGGGTGTCCTGCTGGCCAGTCTCCCAGCACTGGCCTCCTGTCCTTGCTGTGTGTTGACTGCCCTGCATTTCTCCTCTAGTTTTGCAGTTCTTCTCGAGTTTGCTGAAGAACAGCTCCGAGTTGATCACGTCTTCATTTGTTTCCACAAGAACAGAGATGACAGAGGTGGGTGCTCGCTCAGAGACGCCAGCGAGGGGTGGTTGAAGTTGGTTTGATGGGTGCTTGAGCTGTTCTACGATATCACATGGATGAAACTTGTTCTGTTTCCTTTTGTAGCTGCATTGCTCCGTACTTTCAGCTTTTTGGGCTTTGAGATTGTGAGACCAGGGCATCCCCTTGTCCCCAAGAGACCAGACGCTTGCTTCATGGCCTACACCTTCGAGAGAGACTCATCAGAAGAAGACTAGATTGCAATGTTTGCCTCTTTAGAGCTTTCTTGTTGTCTATAAAGATGATTCTGTAGAAATTTTGTCAACATCTATTACAGTATATACCCAACTCTGTACAAAACGTTGTGACCAACTGCTCTGGTGGTGAGATGTTGAAAATTTCAGACTCCACATCTTGGTTTTTTTTTTTTCCTCCTGGATTTGTGCGCATGTCGTGGTTGTGCAAAATAAATGCTCCCTCCAAATTAGCAGTATATTTCTTGAAGTTTAATATTGTGTTTGTGATACTGAAGTATTTGCTTTAATTCTAAATAAAAATTTATATTTTACTTTTTATTGCTGGTTTAAGCTGTTTAAAGACTTTGCACTCTTGAAGAGATTTGCTCTGGAACTGCCCCGACCATTAAAGTTACAGGTACAGAAAGATGTTGGGTCATTCTTTGCTTGACTGGAACTCGTGGCTGTGGTCCACCAGGACTTGAAATCACCTGGCAATTGGGTAAAAACCCACTTTTAGTGAACTAAAAAAATCATAAATTGGGATCCCTGCTCTGTCAGTGGATGCTTGAAGGGTGTGTGTTAGGTGGAGAGTCCCAAGGGAAGTGCTGAGGAGGCTGCCTGGAGCTTCAAGTGTCCTTAAGTCACATGCAGCTTTGAGCCCTGAGGTTTTGGTGTTCCCAGTTCCAGGTGGAGCCTTGCCCTGGTGATGGTTTGAGTTCTTTGGCTGTGATCTAGGCAGGCTTGTGGCACCTTTGCCTAGATCCATCCAGGCTGGAGACCTTGCTTGTGGTTGAAGTGTTAGGAGGAGGGGTTGTCAAGCAGTCACTGTTAAGCAGTGCCTGTTGTGGTCCCCAGACCCTGCAGAAGGGGAAGAGGGCTGCTAGAGTTCACAAACCTTGGGCTGGAGTTACCAGAGAGAAGTCCCCAAAGGGCTGTGCCCTAAACCTGTGTTTGTGGGTGTTTCTCAGTACTTGCAGCTCTGGAGGCCTCTGGTGCTGTTTGAGCTGATGAATGTTCCCTCTGTAAAACCCTGGAGCAGTGAAGCCCTGGGCTGGGTTATTTCTGAGTTGTGGTGTAAATGGAAGCTCATGATCTTCATGAGCATGCCCTCCCAGGAGCTCTGGAGGGTGAGATGTTCAAGTCCAAGTCAGGAGGCCTGAGGATCTCCCCAGAGGTCATCCCCAGGCTGGTGTCCTGAGCTCAGCAGTCCTGGAATCCCATGGAATACAACCCAATCCCTGAAAATCCCTGCTTGGAGGGGGGGTAGGGAGCACAAACCAACCTGGGTGGTGGCACCATGTCCCCAGAGAGGCTGGTGCTCCATGGGCCACACCATGGACGAGGGATGTTCTCAGTGGGCTGAATGCCTTCAGACAAACTGCCCTGGTTTGGGCTGTGCTCTGCTCCTGGGCTCTGGTGTGTCCCACAGCCACCACCTCTGCTGGGACCACAGCTCCTGGCTCTGCTGCTGTCCAGGGAATGCTGGAGGTCTCCTTCCCACCAGTCTCCTTCCAAGTGTTCTGTGGCCATACAATCGTGTTCTTCCTGTGGGTTTTTCTGGAAAGCTGTGAAATTGTTCTTGGTGAGCCGGAGGCCAGTGAAGAGGAGGTGGGTGTGACCATGGAGAGGGTGCTCCTCCCTGACTCACCACGCTGACCAAGCTCTGCAGTTCATAAGAGGAATTCTTTTTTCCCTTAGTGATGCTCTGCCTGTGCTGGGATCTGCTTTCCACGGGGACCTGAGAGTGTGGAGGTGATGTGGTTCTGCCCTGAAGGCCACAGTCCCTGCTAGATGTTTGCCCCAAGCTGCTTCTGGCGAGAAAGGGAGGAGATCACCCAAGGTGGAAACCAGAAATGGGTGCTGAGGGTGCTTGGGGGTGCCAGCCTGGGGCTGGAGTGGGCCTGCAGGTGCTGGCAGCAGCAGGTTTGTCTTTGTTTTTCCAGGACTAGCTGCCCGAGGTGGCTTTGGGCGAGCTGCCGCCGTGCCACGGGCTTTACTGCCATCTTGTAGCCACCCAAGATACTACAGGAGAGGTGGTGGGCACAGCAGGGCTGGGGCTCGCCCAGGGCAACCCCTCCTCCGTGGCTTTTGGCCCCAAAGTCCATCCTGAAATTCCCAGGGGGTTTCTGTGGGGTGGCTGTGCTTGGGTGCTGCCCTGTCCGGGTTTGGGTGGCCAGGGAGCTCGTTTGGTGTCCCCTTGTTTGTCCAGCCTCAGTGGGGAGACTGCAAGGCCAAGTTTGGGTGCTGCCTCAGGGGGGAACCATCCTGCACGGTGCCCAGAACCTCGAATGGGTCTTCTGCCCCACTGCAGCCCAGGTGAGGAGGTTGCTGCCTGCCCACGCTCAGCAGGCCGGGCAGGGCAGAGACTGGAATCAGAGCTGGGAGCTGCTGCTCTGTGCTTTCATCTTTTGGGGTGGTCACAGCTCTGGTTTACTAGTTTTGAGGATTTTTTTGGGCTCAGGGATCCTCCCTGATCCAGCTGTGCCACAGGCTCTGCCTGGTGTGCAGCTGCCCAGGTCTGTGGGCATGCTGAGCCTGCCCCAGTGAAGTCTACAGAGAAGACTGGGACAGTCCACCCTGTGCACAGCCCCTGGAGGCTGCTGGTACTGCTCCCAGACAGTCATCTGGGTGGGGAGAGACCTTTCAGAACGATGAGTCCATCCCTTAACCCATCCCTGCCAGGTCCCCACTGCCCCGTGTCCCTCACCCCACATCTCCACGGCTTGGAAACCCCTCCAGGGGTGGGGACTCCACCACTGCCCTGGGCAGCCTGGCACAGCCCTGGGCAACCCTCCAGGGCAAGAAATTGTTCCTCAGGGACAACCTCAACCTCCCCTGGGGCAACTTGAGGCTCTGTTTCTAATCTTTACTTTTACAGTGTGGTAGCCCTAGATGTGTTGAGGCAGCCCCAAGAAGCCAAGGTTAGGGGTTGAGTTTTTGGAAAGCAGCTCTGCAAAGGACCTTGGAGTCCTGGTGGGCAACAAGTTACTCACGGGCCAGCAGTGTGCTCTTATGGCCAAGAAGGCCAGTGGTCTCCTGGGGTGCATTAGGAAGAGTGTGGTCAGCAGGTTGAGAAATGTTTTGCTCCCCCTCTACTCTGCCCCAGTGAGGCCAGATCTGGAGTAGTGAGTGGCTCCCAGTGCTGGGCTCCCCAGTGCCAGAGACAAGGAGCTACTGGAGAGAGTCCAGCAGAGGCTACAGAGATGCTGAGGGGGCTGGAGCATCTCTGTGCCAGGACAGGCTGAGAGCCCTGGGGCTGTTCAGCTGGAGAAGCCTCAGAGGGGATCTGATCAATGCTGAGCAAGAGCTAAAGGGCCCCCGGGGGGCAAGAGGCTGGGGCCAGACTCTGTCAGTGGTGCCCAGCGACAGGACAAGGGGCAACGGGCACCAACTGGAACCCAGGAGGTGCCACCTGAGCAGGAGGAGAAACTTCTTTGGGGTGAGGGTGGCCAAGCCTGGAGCAGCTGCCCAGAGAGGCTGTGGAGTCTCCTGCTCTGGAGAGATCCCAAACCCTCCTGGCTGTGACCCTGGGCACCCTGCTGTGGGTGAGCTGCTGGAGCAGGGGGGTTGGAGGAGATGATCTCCAGAAGTCCCTTCCAGCCCCCACCCTGCTGGGTTCCTGTGCTGCTGCATGTTTCATGCAGATGTGGTGGCCCTGCCTCGGTGCAGCCAGAGACCAGCTCTGCCCCAGGTCCCAGGGGCAGCAGCCATGAACCCACCCAAGCCCTTCAGCTGAGCCTGACCAGGGCTGGGTGGTGAAGTCTGGCTTTGTGTTTCCTTCTGGATACGTCCCTGGGGAGTGTAATGCTGCTGAAGGAGCACACAGAGGAGCAGCACTTCAGAGCTCAGCTCTGGGGTTTATTGAAGCCATGTGGCTGCTCTATTTCCTCTTTTAAATGTCATTTATATCTGGGACTGGGCCACACATTGCTTCTAAAGAGAGCAGGCTGCACGAGGTCTTGTTTCTCCTTTGGGTTCAGGTGAGCTCTCACGTGGAGCTTTGCTTTGTTATTTACAACAGCGAAGGTCTCGTGGCCTCAGGAGGGTCTGAAGGGGTTTTGTGATCTATAAACCTCCCTCAGGATAACCAGCCATGGATCTGATGCTCGATCCTGTGGCTTCCACCCAGCTGTCTTTCCTGAGGTGCTCCGATAATGGACTCCCAGCACCAAACAAAGGCCAGTTGAGGGTGTAGAAGCACACCCTGAGCTGTGGGAGTTTGGTCCCAGCTTCATCCATCGTGTGCTGGGGGGGAAGTGGGTTTGGGTTTGCAGTGGGAGCTTTCCCAGCCAGGAGCAGCCTGGGCTCTGTGCAAGCTGGTGGATTTGGCCAGGTCCTCACGGCCTCTTGGCTTTGAGGAGACCTTTTGGGTGGGCTGAACTTCAGCGTCCCTCTAGAGAGAGTAGAGAGCTTGGGTGACTTGGCAGAGGGTGTGTTCGGTGACCTCCTGGAAGTACTGGCAGCACAGCCAGTCCTCGAGTCCAGGGCTCCACCCTGCCCCAGCCGAGTGCTCTGCAAACCTCAGGAGCAGCAGAGCCCTCTTGAGCTCCAGCCAGCCCCGGAGCAGGGGCAGGGTCTTCTTCCTCCTGGCAAAGAGCTCCTGCCGAGGTCCCCAGAGCAGGACCTGCAGGATGCTCCTTGCCTGCTGGATGGAGACCCTCTGGCAGGGATCTCTGTGGAGAAGCAGCGTGGCCAAACGCTTCAGCCCCGTGGAATAGATGGACAGGGAGGGGATTTCGGGAAATCTGTTGCTTCTAAACCCCAAGGTGTTCTCCAGAGAGATGTCCACGTGCAAGATGTGATAGATCAGCATGCCTACATTCAGCTCATCTGCCACCAGGGAGGGGGGTGCAGCACCTCCCTCGGGCCAGTCCTGCTCTTGGCTGGTAGAACAAGGTCTTGGCTTGTCTTTAACCTTGAAGGAGCTGCTGATGAGCACCCTTGGAAGGGACAGCCCCGGGGATGCCTCCTTGCCTTGCTGGCTCCGAGGAGGACGTGGGCACTGCACCAGCAGCAGGTTCTTGGGGCAGAGATCCCCCCGCCCCATGTTCTGCTCCTGGAGGTGCTCCAGCCCCAGGCAGACCTGCAGGAGGAGGAGGGAAGCCAGGCGTTCGTAGTGCCCAGGGCTAGTCCTGTGCAACCCCTGGGAGTCCTTCACGAAGCTCGCCAGGTTCTGGTAGGGCACATCAGGAGAAAGGAGGATCTGCAGGACAGGGGGGTGGGCAGGGCGGGCTGGTTCCTCTCCAGCAGGGGACTGACTCTGCTGCCCAGGGCTGCCCGGCAGCAGCAGCTCCTC